AAGCTGAGGCAGGAGACTCGCTTGAGCCCAGGAGTTGGAGGTTGCTGTGAGCTGTGATGCCACAGCACTCTACCCAGGGTGACAGCTTGAGGCTCCATCTCAAAAAAAAAAAAAAAAATTTCAAATTTGCTAGGAAAAGCTTGTACTTCCTTGGAGGCCGATGCTAGGACATGAACCTCTCTCGAATGAAAGCAAGTTTGAGGTGCTCAAGAGCAAGCAAGCAGATACACTGACACATGGGATGGGGAAGCTGCGGTCAAGCCCACAGCTGCCTGTGCCTTTCCTGAACTATATTCTATCCACAGGTATTTCTCAAGGGAAAAAATATTTCTCTATGATTTTTTTCCTATAAAGTAAAACAAGCTAGGTTCCTACCGTCGTCCTGGGTTGGAGTCTAGGGGAAGCAGCTCTGGGACCTTCTTTGATCAAGGGGTTGATCACTGGTTAGTTGTCCCAGGCTGGTGTCTCATTAAGCAAAATCCTTACAATGTGAAGGATTTTCTTCCACCCCTTTTTCTACCTTTTTTTCATTTTTTCTTTTTTTTTGTTCTACTCCTCAGCTGCTGCTGGTTCTTGGGAGGTTGCATTGTTTTGCTGTTTTTGAGTTGACTTGCTCAAATAATAAACCCACCCTCTTGTAGAGGATTAAGCAGACAATTAGGAAATCAATCAATTGGTGTCAGCTGCAGGCAGGGGCCAGTGAAAGGCCCCATCTTCCCGGTGGCCCTTTCCAACCTCAAAACCTGCTGAGGCTCTGGGCTGCGCAGGCAGCGGGGAAGCTCTGAGCTTCATTTGCCTCCATTTCAGGGCCCCGAGGCTGGGACAAACCCAGGAATGGAGAAATAAGGAGGGAGTAGGGAGGAGTGTGGGATGGCTTCGAAGTTTGGTACTTAATGGAGCAGGAAATGAGAGGCTGAGGCAGGGTGGCCAGCTGCTCCCAGCCGGCCATGCCATTACCCTGCTGGCTGGTAAGTTCCCGGCCTCCTTAGGAAGCTCAAGGAGGATAAGTGGCCCACCAGTGTGGGGATGGCTGGGATAGTGGTGCCAATTATGGGGCTTTTCACTCACTAGGAAGTGAAAAGGAGCAGGGAGTGAAGGGAGAGAGAGGCTGAGCCATTGGAAACCGAGTCTGCCTTCATAGTTGCAGAGATAATTCCCCAAAAGATTGAGGGGCAGAACCCTGAAAATCACCAGGCGTCACAGTCATCCTGAAGGTCCAGCCCAGTCAGGGACCACCCACCTGGGGGGCTAGGAACACCTCTGTGGGCATCCCAGTTGCCAGCCAAGGCCTCTCACAGGCCTGGACTGGGGCAGTTTCCCTGGTAGGAGGGGCCCCACGTACACCCTTACTAGGGACAACTTTCTCCATGGCTAAGAGATTGTGCCTTCAAATTCTGGGTCCATGAAGAGTGAGAGAAAACTTGTGTGGTTTCTCCTGAGAAGGGAAAGGAACGGCATCTACGGAGGAAACAGGAAGACTCTTTTATTAGTATTTTAAGAACAGTTTTTTAAAGGTAAAAATAAGATCTTGACTGGGACACAGGTAGTCCTGGGTTCTGGACCTGGAACCCAGAGCTGCCTTCTGCCATCCTGACTCGGGG